AACCACCTGGTAGATCTCCTCGTCCATATCACTTCAACTACCGCACCCTTATAAACGATTGCTTGAGGTAGCCATTTAAATACTCGCATCAATCAGGTCTCGTGATCATGATATTTTCTGAGAGAATGCATCAAATTATTTTATAATTTTTCTACAAGGTAGCAAATCAATGGATTAAAAACACATGGGGATCCCTGAATTCAGTATCATTTTTTTTTGATGGTATCACCATACTAATATAAACAAAATTAATATTTTTGGCTCAATGATTATTAAAGTTTGGTTAGCCAATTTCAAATTCGTTGATTTTCGTCACATCTCATCAAGTATGACGAAATCATAGGGATGGGAAACGTAAATTTCATGCGCATATGGTTATGCAGTGCAATCTTTTTTTTTAGTTTATATTAAAAAAACAATTACATCATTATTTAATAAAAATATTATAATAATAATGCTTTCATCATTATTGTCATCATCATTAATTGTAAAACGTGTGCAAGTACATCTTTACTACATTTTTAAAATGTGCTTCACATATTTCCCAACTTTTCAAAAATGATTTTATTGTGTAATAATATAAATTTATAATTCTCTGTTGAAAAATTCAGTATGGGGTATTTCTAAATTTATACTTAAAGTTACACGACGAAAGTCATAATCACAACTTTTTTCATATTAATTAGAACCATTATAATTATTACTTTTCATATACCTATATATGTATTATAAATTATTTAATTCTAAAGTAAGGGTTTGTTGATATTTTTGCTTGAACCACAATGTTTAATAATCTCAAACATATTTTTATGACTCTGATCTTATGGGCTCTTATTAAGTTGGCAGTTTTTTTATTTGATTTGTATATCAATAGTCCCACTAGTGTTTAATAAAGTCCATCTTTCCGGACCTCGACTAGACTTCCCGTTAGCCTTGTTAAATGTTTATTAAGCGAAAAAGAATTAGGTTGTGAAAATGTTTATTACAGAACGGATTATTTGTAAAGAAACAATTTGATATTAATTTTTGCCCCTATTCTTATGAACGAGACTCTGAATATTAAGTAAATAATTAATTAATTAGTTATCTTGATCTCCTATAGAACATGGGCCACCCAAGTAAATCCGACCATTCTCATTAGAAATAATTAAATAACCACCGGGAACATTGACAGTGACTTTACTTGCATCCTGATCGATCAACTTCAAACGTTTAGCCAAAGCAACACAACTAGTTGAGCCAGTTCCACACGCCAAAGTTAATCGATTGATACCTCGTTCAAAAGTTTATAAATGTATAGTTGTAACTTGATTAAGATTTATTCCAATTGGGAATTTACTGGTGTCGTTATTTAAAAAATTTCCGACCTTGACTAATTCTTAAGTGTGACCAAATGAGGTTCTGAGGTGTTAAGATAATGCCAGGTGACACCATCCACAACTAGATTCCCATCTTTGCTGACAAAATTCTTCATCTGATAAGCCATCATTATCATGATAATTTAGAGATTGTGTGGTTGGCTCTCATTCAACTTTCCAAAATTGGTGAAAATGTGAACATATGACAAGGTTGATTGGTGAAAATGAACCGTGATTTACCCATTTCAACAAAGAATTCAGTGCCATGTTGAAGTAGTTCATGGAAATAATCACCACATCTGATAAAAAATTGCTTGTAACGGTCTCCGTAATGATCAAAACAATATTTTGAAACAACTCTAGCGCCGTTGCCATAAAATCCATCACCAGGTTCATAAACATACATTCTAAATATGTACGAGACTTGTACTCATTGATAATGATGGTGGCAGCGATGGTTGTGATGGAAATTCTTTTTCTTGACTAAATTTTGTAAGAACAAGACAAGAATCTATTTTCTCGAAACCAATTTTTCGATGAAAATAACGAACTTACTTTTCATCGAAATCATGTTCAAATTTATCTAAATAATCAAAGATTAGAAAAGTGTTTCCAGAAATTTCAGCAAGTATTGATTTAGGATTTGTATTTTTTTTTCTTGATCTTTAGTGTTGTTATACATGAATTATTATTATATTTATTATTATCAACTATTATTACTATTGCCGAAATCAGGAAAATAAATAAAATACCCCGGATTGTCGTTTTTATATATGGTCATAAACCAGATTTAGTCGGGATTTTTGTGCCAACTATGTAATAGTAAAGGATATTGATATTTAACTATTATTATTATTATGAGAAAAATTTTTGTATCTATAAACAATTAATTGCTTATATATAGTAACGATTAGCCAGTTTCGATTTAAAAAAGTTGACCGTTTTATTTGTTCATTCTTCAAAAATTTATCGACTAGTTTTTTTCTTAAACTGAACATTGGCAGAGCTTTAGCATTTTGAAAATTCCAAATTTTGAGGTAAATTTCCTAACATTTTAATATATTGATTTATTTTTATTATCTATTTCCTTTTTTTTATTAATAATAAAAGTTCTTTACAATAAAAAAGTTTAATGAACATATAATTCACGAAAATTATTATCTCAAATTTCAAAAATCTAAAAAATGAGACAAATTGCTTTTATATGAATTGAAAGCTAAACTTAATGGAGTGGTTTTTTTAAAATCCAACATGTGCATCACATAATATTTCAATTTTAACTTTCACATATTATTATGCTCTTCTATATGTGAAATTAAAGTTTAATTCGCGATTGATACGTGATAGGAGTAGATAAAAATCTGTGTCGATCCGGACAAAAAGTTTGCAAACGATGTTTTTCGTTAATTACGCAAAATCCTACATAATAAAAATACATAAAATTTTAATATTATACAGCCTAGATCCCTTGATCGATTTCACATAAAATATTTGATTTTTTTATATTTCTATTACTTTTTTTTTGAAAAGATCTTCAAAAGTCAAAATTGAAGAAAACCGACTAATATCTAGTGGGCCACACATCATTAGAAATGCATGATTCAACTCTTCTTGGAATGCTTTTAATGAACTTTTCCAAGTATTTTTAACCATTCTTCTTTTACTGCAACTTCCAATTCCAATTTATTTTTTAGCCCCCTTTAAAAAACTTTTTACGATCACGATTTAGATTTAGAAAAAAAAAAAAAATAACGAAGAAATAAAATCTAGATGAGTTATAAAGTATTGAAATCATATGTTTTATTCTTCAAAACTATAACTTTTATATGATATAATTTTAAATATTTGAAAAAAGACGAAGATATTGTAAACATTTTAAAATTTAATTTGCAATTCGCCAGAAACGGAAAGAAATTACATAATGCAGATCGGGGCAAAATTTCTCAATTTTATAATAAAATAAATTTTATCACGTAACTTTATCTCCTGCTGGCACAAAACCTTATTATCAAGTATTACCTTC